TTAGTTGTACGAATTGATTTGTAACCAAAGCATCGCATGTGGTATTTATAAGTATTTTTTCTTAAATCGAATGTGCGAGTAAATTCTTTCTGGTTCCTATTTTTAATGTTTTGTTTGTTTTGGGATTACTAATCGTAATTTCTGTAATCGTAAGAAATATTATACTTTTCGCTAATTGTTTCTATATGCAGTTAATAATTATGGCAACATTGTGTATAAATATAATCTTGTTCAGTTTACATGAATGTTTGGGATGAATTGATTCACACGCAGTGGGTTTAATTGTCACACGTTGCCAGACCTTACGCATGTGCGTGGAAGCACGTGCATCTGATCGCCGCATGTTGTTATAGTTAATTCGGTTAGAATAAGAAGTTATATTTATGTTGGTTTTCAGTAAATCTGAGTTTGTATGGTTTCTGTTGATATAACTATATATGTATGTGTATATATATAAATATAGTTTTCAATCAACAAATATACATGATTATATATCGATACATGGTATATATATATATAATTAATTTTACTATAACATTATAAACACTGTTACAACAAGAATTATTTGTCGTGTGTTATCCATATAGAAGACATGTCTAGGGTATCTGAGAATTGATCCAGGGTATGGGGTGGGATGTCACATTTTTCCGATCTTGCTTACGACTGCGTACTTTCTTTATTATAATTAATATAAATATAAATATGATTTATATTTTTTTCTTGTACCTAAAGAATGTAGCTATATTACAATGTACTCAACATTCTGAAATATTGCATACGCCGTTTTATTTTTATCAATATGTAAAAAGTGTGACAATTAGACCCGATATCCCCTATTTCTTTTTCTGCGGGTTAATTATAATCGAAAGATTATATTCAATGACAAAAACACAAATGTCACATTTTATTTTAAACTGACAGAATATGTTTACAATGATACATGACAATGTAATAATATTCAGTTAAATTGTTTATTTATTCTCAACAAATGTTCAAAATACTCTCTATTTGCTTCAATGTCTGGACACGTCGAATCATGGATTATAAGTGATAAACCATGTAGCTCTCGATACATTTTAGCATTGTTCCAGATATACTCACTATATCTATCATGACAAATGGATAAATAAGAAAGGACCAGTTCCATGACGTTTGCCTAAATCCATTATATTTTTACCTTTAAAAATTATTTAAAGTTCTAGTTTAAGCAACTAAAATTGGAAATAAAAAGACACTCCACCAACGCATCGCAGATGCTTGCAAAATCATTCGCAATCGTTCTAAGGTTTTTGAAAATGTGCAACAGTCCACGACACTTTCATTGTGTGTCAATACATACGTCAAAGCAGTAGGAGAACATTTTGAGCATTGTTGTAAATTATGAGTAGATAAACAACTGAACTAAAAGATTTATTGCATTGGTTATGTAGAATTTTAAATATATTCTATCAGTTTGAAGTAAAATATGACATCTGTATTTTTATCGTTAAATGTGATCTTTCGGTTATAACTTATGTCAAGCATTTCCGGACATATACAGGGTGTTAAAAAAAAAGTATTCCAAATTTTCAGGATAGATAATACTCATTACACTGAGTAAAAAATGTCGAGTAAACATGGGTCGAAAAATCAATTCTTTCACAGTTATAAACATTTTACGATTTTGATAACGCAAATTATTTATGTTTCCATTGATTATACGTAGTCAATAAACGAACGAATATGGTATCTTACCATATTACTCTGATGTTTACAAAAATTGTTCCTCGTGTTCCCTTCTGTTTCCACACAAGCTACACAATAAATATTTACACTATCTTCTTGCTTCAATACTGAATATCAGTTAGTCACTTATAATTAATGATAATACACAATGTAGTAATAAAATAATAATATGGTAAGATACTCGTTCATTTATTAATCACGCATAATTAATGGAAGCACCCAAATAACTTGCGTTACTAAAATCGTAAAATGTTTATAACTCCGAAAGGATTGATTTTTCGACTCATGTTTGTTAAAAATTTTTTACTCAGTATAATAAATATCTATCTTGCAAGTTTAGAATACTTCTTTTTTTTAACATACTGTATATATGATATTTTTTCTTGTTTAAGTATGAAAAACTCATTCTTAAAGTTTGCATTTATATTTCTAAATCATTTTATGTGTGTGTATATATATACAGTGTGTACCAGCTCGATTTCACAATCTCTCGTAAGAGAGAATTAAGGTAAACATAAAAGTCCTATATCATTTTACAACATTCGCAATAATTATCAAGATATTAATTAAATCAGATTTTTAAATGATGACGCTCAATATGGTAGATGAGTGTAGTGACGACGTCTGCTGTCATATATGTGTTTGTACATTAGGACAAACTGAACAAAAAAAGTCCTTCACCATTTTACAAATGATCACGTAGATTTTTAATTATTAATTAAAGAAGATTGATGCATTGTCGCGTAAAATGTCATGCAACAATTTCCTTTAATTAATAATTAAAAATCTATATTGTTATTTACGAAATGGTAGAGGACTTTTTTGCTCTAATGTAGTAATGTATAGTTTGACCTGAAGTACATCTGGGTATGTTAAGACAACAAACGTCACCACTACACTCGTTTACCATAACATGTGTGATTATTCACAAATTTTCTACAATTAATATTTAAGTCATTATTACGATTTTCGCCAAACAGTATTGGACTTTTTTGTTTAACTCAATCCGCTTTATATCTTCACGAGAGATTGTAAAATCGAGCTGGAACATCCTGTATATATATACATACATACGTTGTATGTCAATAATTTTCAGATACTCTGTATATGTGTGCATACAGGTTAAAAATAATAACACAATGGTAGAAAATATGTGTATCGGAATCCCTGAATATCCCGAAAACCTCTTAAAAAAATAAAAAATTTTTAAATAAATGTTGTTCTCTATTAAAAGACGTATTTAGTAGTTATTTTAGTTTGATTTTTGGATGACGTTGTCAAGGTGAAATAAAAATTGACATAAAAGTAAATAAAAACTCTTAAATAAAAACTCATTTTTTATCATATATTGTTGTATTCTGCGTCGAGATGTTTTCAAAATATAAATAAACACTTTCTAATAAAAAAATTCTTTGAATTATAAGCAATCGAAGTTACCGCCGCACAAGTATTAGCATTAGTGTGCACGAAAATACGTACATATGCCGATGTATACTAATAACAACTACACTTGTCTCTAATTTTATCATTAAAACGATATAGATTTACAACATATAACATAAATATCCATATATTGAATAAACCTATTAGATAGTGTCTATATTGCTTTAATGATAAAATCAGAGATACGTTAGTACAATTGTGTATACTGATATATGTGTGTATTTTTGCGTGTACTAATGCTAATGCTTGCGCGGCGGTAACTTCGATTATTTTTAACTCAAAAAATGTTTAATTAAAAAAGATTTATTCATGTTATTTTGGCCTCGAGGTAAAATACAAGAATATGCAATAAAAAATATGGATTCCTAATTAAGATATTATGTTAATTTTTATTTTACCTTGATAATTATATCCAAAGTCAAACTAAAATAACCACTAAATATATCTTTTAATATCAAACAATTTTTATTTAAAATATTTTTTTCTAAAACATATTGTTTTCGATATATTCAAAAGTTCCAGTATATTTTCCGAACTCTATATATCAATTTCCCAAGTCATTACTCGTATAAAAGTTTTGAGGTAAGATTATAAGAAAATAAATAATTCCCAAGATAGTTTACATTTTATCTTAATATTTTTCAATACAAAACATGAAATATTTCACAAAGTATTTACTTTTTGATGACCTCATCTTTGTACTATTGTATAAGAAAATAAATCGATTGATGACACTAATCTTTAAATATTGATGCATCAATACCAAAAAAATTTTACAAAATATATTTGTAAAATTCAATAAAACTGTTTATATATGCATATCGATGTTTTTCTCACAGCAATCAATTTCATCCTTCATTCGACGTAAATATTAAAGTGAGGTGAAAGTATTCACTTTTATCAAAATATTAAAGTGAGGTGAAAACGTTCACTTTCATCGAAAATGAATACTTTACAAAATATTTCATTATGTTGAAAAGTATCAGTATAAAATATAAAATATCTTTTGTAGAAAGATTCATTTTTCGATGATTTTATTTTAATATTTTTATATATCAAATGACCTAAGGAACTATAATTCAAAATCGAAAAATTTTATATTAAAAAATCATATTATTTTACTTAAAGAATTCGTAGTGATCTTGGCATGATTTTAATAGAGCAACCCAAAATCAAATTTTTTCCATTAAAATATATCTCCATCGCAACGATACAATCTCAAAAAAAAAAAAAAGAAATCTTAATATCTCACTCAATTTAAAAGATATTCAAGTGTATTTGTTAAAATAAGACATCTAGTATATGTGTGTATTATACGTATCTATAGTGTTATTACTATAATTGCAAGAATATGTTCAATATGAGAGTGCATACGTTTTTTGAGACTTGATCAAACCTAAAGTGGTTTGCTTCACGAGGGTGTAGAAAAACCATATAGAAGTTTCTACAAAATGATCTAACAATAAGAGATAAATTAGAGTTTAGCAGCATAGACTCTTGTCTATCTTAGTCAGACTATATATGCCCTTAAATTGCTTGATCCTGTTGTCAGGTTATCCTTATTAGAATAAGCAAACTCTTTTATAATATAACTGGTATTTAGCAAAGTAAACACATATTTGTAACAATCCACATTAAACAGGATATTTAATGAAGTTTGTGCATTTGACTATGTTACTGAAATATCAAGAACTACGAAAATTTTGTAAAAGATCCTATAATGTAAAATAAATAATTGTTATCTCCAGATATTATACAAATATTAATCATATTACAAACTAGGGACAGGAAAATGGAAATACAAAACAAGGACCAGTGAGGACAGTAGTTACCATAATTTAGAATCTTGGGCGTTCTTCTCGCGCACTTCTTGTTCAATTTCATCTCCACAGTCAGCCACAATGCGTGCCAGCTGCTCAGCCTCTACTAGACACACTTAGAACCTTTTGTCAGATACGTATAATAACGTCCTATAATTCGCTTTATACATATTTTCTATTAATTCTCGATAAAACAATGAAGTATCATTTATATAATTTAACACCATGTCTCACAAGCAAATAATCTTTTCAATAACCCGCAATATATTGGTTAATACCGCGCGAAAGGTAAAGATAAAGTCACTAATGCTTAAAAATAAAGATTTATTATGCATAGCACGAAAGCAATTCGTTGAGCTTGATATCATACCTTGTTGTTCGGAACTCTGTAGATTGGTCGGTGGTCTCACAGGCGGTGGTATTTGTACATTGGTTGGGCCCACTGAGATTGATACCTGATTAGAAAGGGTATAGCTAGTGGACATGAGACGCGGAGGTGCTGCATTTTGTATGACAGTGGGAGGCGGCACATTTGGCGGAGGGATATTCAGGTTTGGTGGTGGAACAGAATTAATCGTCGATGGAACAGTATGCACTGGCGGAGGCGCTGACATTATCATGGGCGTTATCACACTTGGTGGTGGAACATTGGCTACATTCGGTACTGTTACTACGATGGCTTGCGAACCAGTCATAGACATCATAGTCGGTGGCATCTGTGACATCGGTGGCAGAATATTCGGTGGAGGTATATTAGGAGGAGGAATATTCGGAGGCTGTAAATTGACATTGCATGCTGATGATGGTACATTACATTGTTGTGGATTTTGTATAATATGTTGTGGCCCATTTGAAGAAGACAAGTTGGCTATAGATATTGTCTGAGAGATCTGCATGTTAGGTGGTGGAATATTTGTATTGGGTGGAATGTTTTGGATAGGAGGAGGAGGTGGGGGAGGAGGGGGAGGAGGAGGCGGAGGAGGCGGAGGGCGTATAATATGCGGTGGTGCAACTTGCATTCTGGCACTGTTAGAATGATCATTCATATTAGTATAATTATTGTTAAAATTCTTCGATACTGGCAGCCTCTGTAAATGTACAGATGAAATATTTGATGTCAAATTCCTCATATTTGGTGGAGGTATGCTTGTCATTTGCATCATCGGTTGAGACATGAGAGACGGGATGGAAGAAATATTATTATTATTGTGAATCGAAAATTGACTGAACTGGGTACGCTGTCCATTCTGGGAATGATTATAGCCATGTCGTGTCTCTGGACTTAATGGCGATCTGTGCCTAGTAGGCGATGGACTTGAGGAGGAACTATGTTTCCTATTATCTGAACTTCTTCCCCAACGTGAATCGTTTCTTCTACGATCTCGTCGATTATCCCAGTCTCTAGCATTTTCACTTCGATGCTTTCTATCCCTGTCTCTTTCTCTAATAACTTCATAACATTTGTCATCTCTCCTTTTATCTTCATATTTATCTTGTATTTCTTGTTTGCCAGTTCCTTTGTTATTTGCTATTCTCTTAAATTGATCCAAAAAGCTGCCATCATTAGCAAATACATTCAGGCAGAAGGATGAGGGAGGTTTTTCATCTTCATCCCTATAATTACACAAACAATGTAGATTACCTTTAACATATCAAAACAATATCATAATATATCTGTATTATAAAAGAACATAAATTATAATGGTAACTATAAAAAATTTGATTACTATATTATAGTACTTTTAAAGAGCTTACTTTGGACCATTGCTTTTACTGCTTATTGCGCTCGAGCCCAAGGAATTAGATTTTTTCATGCATTCTACAGCTTCTTTCGCTTTCTGCTCTTGCATTTTCGCCTGAATTTCTAACTTCTTTTGTTGAATAATTTGTTCTTGCTTCGACATTTGTGCAAAACGTTCGTTTCGCGAAGTTTTTGACACAAACGGATCGGAGCCTTTGACACCACGATACGCCATTTTTGGTTGTCAATTTTATAAATGACCGGCGAAGAAATCTAAATATTTTATGTTTTAGTTATTGACAACGTAGTATAGTTTGTGTATCGGCTAACAACGAAGGTTTCAGCCCTGTTACGTGCAATCAAGCTTCACATTTCATCGAATCGAATGATGTCGACCATATTTATTCTTAGGTATGTTCCAAAATTCATTGCTAGCACTGAGTGTTTACGATAATTCGAGTTCCAGTTAAGGCTGGTTTATGATGTGGTCTGTTCTTTTCAGCTGCACTGCTGAACTGGTGCAATAAGTTAAAGTGAGAAAAAATATATTTATCTCATTCTAACTTATTGCACTAGTTCAGCAATGCAGCTAAAAAGAACAGACCAATGGCCATAAAGCCCGTATCAGGTTACCAAATACACAAGCCAACCCGACTGCCGACTACGACTGCCAACTCTCAATGGACCAATCACAGTGAGGCGCTGACTCGGCGCCTCACTGTGATTGGTCCATTGAGAGTCGACAGTCCTAGTCGGCAGTCGGGTCGGCCTGTGCAGTCGGTAGTCTGATACGGGCTTAAGTACCTGGCCGTGTTCCGTTTTTGCTGGCAGTACTGCAAATTTGTTCCGTTTTAAAGCGTCTTCTACAATGGCAGTAGGAGTAGTAGTAAGAAATAAGCAGTAAGTAAATAGACCAATCACAATCGATTATTTTTGAAACGTGAGAATGGAATTGGTCAATTTGCTTACTGCTTATTTCTTACTACTACTCCTACTGCCATTGTAGAAGACGCTTAAGGGTCCTATTTCACGTATCGTACGACGGGAGCGTTCCGATTGGCCACGGTACGATTGGACACAACCAACCGATGAAAAGAATTATCTAGTGAATTACTAGGTCGCACCAATCATTACAATCTGTGTCCAATCGTATCGTGGTCAATCGGGTCCCACTCTCGTACGATAAGCTTTTCGGATACGTTTATTGATTGGCGAATAGAGTATTTCTAAGTTCTCTGTTCGTCAATCAATGAACGTATCCAAAAAACTTATCGTACGACACGTGAAATATCAGCCTAAAGCCCATTCTACAATTGGGTAAACGTAGTCGTGAACGTAAGAGTCAACCAATTCGAATGTTTTATTCACTGATTGCTTTATTCTGATTGGGTGTCGTAATCACTTACAACCACTTACAGGCACATTCACGCAATTGTAGAATGGGCTTAAGGGTGCGATTACATGAGCGTACGGAAACACGAAAATGCGTAAATGCGGAAAAGTAACTAGTAAATAAATGGGATCCGTGCGGTTTCGTTCTGCTTTTCCGCGGATTTTATGAGGAAATACGGAACAAGCAAAAAGCATAAGATAGTGATACTATACTGTCACTCGAAGCCAACCATTGTAAAGTCACCTGCAATCTTATTCGAGCACTTATTGGATTACGAACTACTCTCTGTTTTTCAATGTGAGGTCCAACGATTGTCAGTAATTCATCGAATATTGTTGGTGACATCCGCAGATAGTTAAAATATTTTTCGTTATCAGACAATAACATTTTAACGATTAAATTATCACTGGCTCTTTGTAACAATCTTCGTTGTTCAGAAAATATGAGTCTTACCCACATTCTGCAATTTCGTCTGTCTTCTAATTTTTTGTAACAATTGTAGATATAAAATAATTTTGTAACTTTTTTCATTGTTATTTCCGTATATCTCTTTGATTGCTTTCGTGCTTGTATTACCAGTGTGATCATAGCCATTAACATATAATTTAAAATCATATTTGCAGCAAGCAAAAACGTGGCAATCAAACGTAATAAGCCAAATTTACAGCTTTTACAGCTTTTCTTCTTTCACAGATTTGTATATGTGCTCACACAAGGAGTATATATAATGGAATAAACGCGTTCCGTTGATTTGGTTGTCCTAAATATTACAAGGAGCACAATTTGTGCGGAAATGCGGAACGGTATAGTGATAAATATTTGTATATATTTAAAAAAATTATATTTACTTCATTCATTGCAATTTTTATTAATACGCTTCTTTTTTCAACTTATCCGTTTAATAAAAACATTTTGATCAATAAATATCGTTTATAAATAATGTTTTATAATTCCTCATTCTGCTTTTCCGTATAAAATATGCTCCATGTAATATTTAGGAGAAATAAAGCTACGGAACAAAAGAGCGGAAATGCGTAAATCTAGTTAAGTCCTAGTAACGTTGTCTTCCGTATTCCCGCATTTCCGTATTTCCGTACGCTGTAATCGCACTCTAAAGCGTCTTCTACAATGGCAGTAGGAGTAGTAGTAAGAAATAAGCAGTAAGCAAATTGACCAATTCCATTCTCACGTTTCAAAAATAATCGATTGTGATTGGTCAATTTGCTTACTGCTTATTTCTTACTACTACTCCTACTGCCATTGTAGAAGACGCTTAAGGGTACACTGCAATGTAGCAATATCTAGTTCCATCAATGACGTCATGAATGACAGCCATCTTGGCACTGCAACTATTGCGGCTGAGAAAAAGATCGATCATGTATCTTTTCACCTAGAGTGAATTTGTAAAAAATTGAAAATTTTCACGTTAAACGAAAAAGTCAAAATTTTAGTGCAAAAAAGTGAAAACTTTCATGTGAATTAATATTTCCCGTGAAAAGTAATATCCATATTTATAATAAGTTAATCAATTACGATAGCTGCTGCATGAAGGATAGTTAATGAGGAACAAAACGAAAGAAACGAGAATTTACGTATTATGCATAAAATTTTAAGAAATACTCAAGATCCTTTTAATATCCCAGAAAAACAATTTCAGGAATTATATAGGTAATAATAATTATTAGGTGTACAACTTTGCTTCCGCCGTTCTTTTTTTCGAAATTCGAAGCTTTATTGTAAAAAACTGATTATATATTTATGATTCAAAGTATTGTCCATCGCTGTCCACTACTTTCTCCTATCTTTCGGGCAGCGTACAAATCCCGCGTCGAAAAAACTGGTCATCTTTTGAGACGATCCACGAATCGATCCACGAATCGATCCAATTTTTTACTTCTTCATAAAACCGTGCTGGTCAGCCAGGCCGTATGCCATTGATCGAAACAAGTGATAGTCAGAGGGAGCAACGTCTGGAGAATACGGCGGGTGGGTACGACTTCCCATTTCAACGCTTCCAAGTATGTCTTGACCACTTTCGCAACATAAGATCGAGCATTGTCATGTTGCAAAATCACTTTATCGTGTCTCTCGTTGTATTGCGGCCGTTTGTCTTTCAATGCTCGGCTCAAATGCATCAATTGCGTTCGATATCGATCGCCTGTGATTGTTTCAGTCTGTGTTAAGAGCTTATAATACACTACGCCGAGCTGGTCCCACCAAATATAGAGCATGACCTTGGAACCGTGAATATTCGGTTATAGAATATCTATATCTTCGATATCTTCGACAAAATTAAACAAGTACGAATATTAAATCTAAAGAAAATATTTTCTCCGAGGAAACGGTATAAGAAGTTTAAAAAATATGCAATAAGACAAATTAATGATTGCCACTAACGAGTGCTATTCTAAGTACTATTCTATAACCCAATAAGCAATCTGCGCGCAGACTGACGTCAGACTGTCGACAGGATCTGTCGAATCCGAACAGGATCTGTCGACAGATCCATAGACATCTGCGTCCCCAATCTGCCGCCAGACTGTTGACAGGGTCTGCGAA